TAGAACAGTCACGGACACTACATGTATACACCAACACAAAGTCATGGCGGCGACATGCTCAAAAGCAGCATAGACTAAGCCGAAGATTCCTTGATCTGGGAGATCACAGATTGCAGGGCCTACACACTGATATGGGATGAACATGAAGATTTGCCGATTTATTGTCATTCAGATTTAATTCGAATCACATTGATAATGATCCCTGTAGTCGCAGGGGAGGAGGCAGCCAACGCTGCACCAGCCAGCGTGGCTTAAGGTTGACAAGACGCCATTACGAAAACCACCTTCTTCTTCCTCCCTTTCCAAAACCAACCACTTCTTTTTCCTTTTCAACTCGTCTCTACCCGCCAAAAATCTAAGTCATGGCAGACAAATCCCTCTGCTGCATGGATACAGTTCTATTTTTAGATTAATTTGCATATTCAGCTGGCTACCTTTTGGCAATTGACTTTAACAATAAGTAGACGAGCGCCCTCTATTGGTCCAATTTGTGAATAATCAAGCACTGATCATGATACATATTAATCGTTTATTTTATGTCCTTCACTGACACTGGTACTCTGAGTTACAGCATAATCGTTTTGGGTTGAAAATTCCTTCATTATACGTTTTTTCTGTAGGGTTTATCTTAAAATGTACCCCTTTGCCGCACTCAATTTCAACCTTGAGGTATTCTGCGGTAAACTGACCTGCCATCTTTGTATGATTGTATATGTGTATTACTTGTTTCTTTGAAGATTTAATTAACACTTGTTTATCTGATCGTTCCTTACTGGATTTGTTATGTGAATTATTTTACATCTTAATATTTATTGTGACAGGAAAAGTCATTTTTTCGATTTGGTTCAACTTAAATGAATGATCCGTTCCTTTCTATTGATTTATCGATTAGAGACGGGCCGACTGGCGGACCACTGTTTTCATGGAACTTCAGACTTGGCAGCACATTTTGACAGCAACACCAACCAGCCTAAAATTGTCCACTAACCTTCAACAACGACCCTTGTGAAGTTCCGATGAAAGCAATGGTATGGTTCATTTCGGTGCTTGTAATGATCGATGACAGTCTTGAATCCTCTACTTGGAGCAATGGCATGGCTGTAACACCCTCGGGGTTACTGGCATACTTGTAACGTTTCTGTGTATCACACAGTACTGCTTGGATGTCATTGAGGGGTGACTGTAAACAGGATAAAAAAATAATAAGTATTTTGGCCACAGGTATGTAGTTCCTTTTGTTAATGTGAATGCAGTTTCAATGATATCAGTTATCTCACAAATCTTTTCAATGAGCAAATTTTGTGTTCACAATGTGCACAAACCCCCACCCCATGAACAGTGTCTTCCTGAGATCTACACGTACATGTACAGCAATAGCATGCTCATTGGTTGGAAAATGGTCTTGCATTTGAATGACCAAAATATGTCAGATAGTTTTATCCCTTAAATGAGTCCCGTTGTTGCAAAAAGAAGCACTGTTCCTAAGTTCCCACCATGAACTATTCATATGCCCAAAGTCCCTGTGAGTTCCTAATTACTAGCACTGAATACATTTTGGTTCAATAATAAACACATTTACCTGTAAGGCGACAGAGACCAAGTGATATAATTCAATGTCATGTCATGATACATGTACGTGTGTATGTGTCCAATGGAGGATCTTACCTCTCCCCCTTGCCAGGTATCCTGTGCTATGTAAAACTTTGAATTTGTGTAGTTCATTAATCAGCTTTTGGTGCTCCTTGAAAAAATGTGTATGACCCTTGGTGCTAGACATTTACTGGGCTACACGTCTTTTAGAAGCACAAAAATCACTGGATGTTAAATGCAGCCGTTTCCTCAAATCATTTGAGATTTTTTACATACATGTACTAAAATATAAAAGTATCCATTTTCCCCCAAAATTTAAAGATTTCAAATTGCTGGTGAGGGCTACAATAAACGTGACCTGGGCATGCACACTGCAGGCAAGTGGTAAATAGATACAAATTACACAAGTACTATTGCATTCACATCCCAGAAGATACTTCACTTTGTAAGCATCTCTAGTTTGCTTGCATCCTGGTACAGCGGTCACAAATGCCTCTTCAATCTCAGTCGTATTGAAAGCGTACAGAGCAGAAATATGTCCAGGGAGTCTATCTAGCGGAGCTTGGTTGGCAAGTGATTCCATTCGTGAATTTGTTTTGGTCGAGGCTGTTGTCAACCTGACCTAGACAAACATAAGGTTTTACGTGTTAATAAAGAGAAGTGGCAAACAGAAATAAACTTACTGTCCTGCATCTACTTCCCTGAAGATACCCCACTTTGTAAGCATCTCCAGTCTGCACGCACCCTTGTACAGCCGTCATAAATGCCTCTTCAATCTCATTCATATTGAAAGCACACAAAGCGGAAGTGTCAGTAGGCGTGTCACTGCTTCCAATACTGGTTGCAAATACAGTAAATAGCATCTGGGATGACTGGGCGATTCCAAGAGATGTTGCCAAGTCTGGTCCGGCTTCTCCTAAGAAAGCAGCCTGGGCAAGGTTATAGGAACCAGATTCTTGACCGCAGCGTAGGATGATCTCACTGTATGAATCCAGGCTGGGACTGGTGTGACAAACACGAACCAATTTAGAAACAAATGCAGAAGATCCGATTGTTTCTTGCTGAGCAGTGACAAAGTAGGTGAAATTGTTCAACGTAAAGCCATAAACATAGCTAATGTCAAATGCCCGGCTTCGGTAATCTGAATTGAAACTTATTTTTGAGTCTTCATCAGATAAAAGTAGTCTCGGATCAGGAAGACTTTGATCCAAATCTCGTCTTGCAACGGGTGGAAATGTCCCATCCTCTGTATATGTGGATGCTACATAAAACCAGTCTCTTCCCCCAGGGCCAGGTGCAAGCACACCAACAGTGGTCTTGCCTCTACCTGGAGATACTTCAACTACACTGCTTGCATTTACAACTGTCAGTTCAATTCGATCCCTCTGCTGACACCTCCCGTCATTATCACTCCCACATGTGATCAGTCTATTTCTGGTGGGTTCAACAAAGAGGATCTTGTTTTCATTGGCACAGTCCTCTGCGTCAGGACAATCGAAGGCTGTGCTGGCGTTACTCAAAGGTACTAAATTCTCATCCAGTCGGTAAATTGAGTTCACTGCCCCAACGTAGATATCTGAGGGGCCATGGAAAGTAACATGGTTGAGTTTGGCGTTGGGATCTGGATGTGGGTTTGTGAAGGATGCCACCTCGTAGGCCGACAGCAGCCCCTGCTTTTCCGTGACAGCAAACGCAGAAGCACAGATCAATGTGAGCACCAGTGATGTCGACCCAAACCAAGCCATTATCTGTTAAAAGGTCGAGGTTAAAATAACGTGTTATACAGTGTATCCCTTTTTAAATGGATGCATAAAATGTAAATCATAAGGGTCAATTTGTCTTATCATCCTCAGATGACACTTTGAAGTATCATATTTATTTCCTTTGATACCTTCAAGGAGTCAGCATCTTTTATCATAATGGGCATTCACTACACGTGCAGTCAAATTAAACAGTTCAGGGAGCTATTACATTCAGTATATCTGACAAAGTCACGCACCATTGTCCACTGACTTACCAGGGAAATATGAGTCTAAATTCAAGAAACTATCGTCCCTTCTTAGTTTCTTATCATCCATAAAATATTCCTCAACCCCAACCTACCCAACCCCAATCCCAAAAGGTACCATTTCTGAAGCGCTGGCTCTTTCGCTTTTTTATTTTTAGTAGGAGGTGTTTGATTTTCCTCCGTCCTACACTGGATACACCAAATGCCTTTTTGCTCTCAACTGACGGGCTGATATTACTTTCTGTACTCAAAATATTCTGGAAAAATGAATACCGGAATCGGAGCCTGCCGAGCGTGTGTAACCCGACCGCCAAAGAGCAAAGGTTATGATCATTCTGGATGGTGTTAAGTGCAAATATCAATTGTTTCACATCCTGATTCTGCAAAGGCCTGAACAAGCGCATTTATTACAGCTTGTGTTCTCATATCCCTGCTTGCTAACAAAAGGAAAAACAGCCAAAACTCAGTGCAGTCTTTTTAATAAAACATTGAGGCAAAACTGTCCCAGGTTTCAGGTCAGGGGCTGGCTCCAAAAGTGGTGCAGCGACGAGGCTTTTTTTTCTACAAAATGATCCACGCACGTGTGCTGGTATCAGTGTACTGGTGCAATCAACTCTGAAATAAACTGGTCCCTCACTATGTTGCCAGTACTGTTTAGAAAGGGTTTCCAACTTATAGATGTACACAGGACATAAGATCACCTTGTTTGTCTGGTTCCCATTATGTAAATGTATCATGACGTCATCTGAAAGAGTGTCCGACTAATGTATGGGGGCATAAATTTAAGGGACGCCTTTACTTTGCATATTTCTCAACCGTACCTATCTAAACTAGATAAAATTACTCTTTCACAGGATCTGGCCAATCAAGCAAGTTTGGCGGCTTTTGGACATCATACTATGTAAAATAAAACAAAAAACTTTGCTATTTTGCCGACGCACAGGTCTACCGCGTTGCGCACGCTGACCAGAAACCGGGGACTTTTTTGGCCTTGCGATTTTGTTTTTACGGAAGCCCAGTCATGCCACATACAAACAATCGTTAGGAAGCTAATTTGTTATGACAAATTACTTCTTCGTTATTACGGACTACTTATTCGTTGTAACGGATAAATAATCCTAAGAGTTATAATTCGTAATAACGGATTAGTAACACGGGCGATTCGCAATAGTGCGCCTCCAAGAGTTTGCAATGCGTTGGCCAATCACGACTTGCAAAATCTGTTGACCCTTTTTAAACGTGTACTGAGTCGACAGATTTAATGCATCGTGATTGGCCAACGCGTTACAAACTGTTGTAGGCGCATAATTTTGAATCGCCGGTATTCGTAATAATGAATTAATTCCCCACATCTTATTTTAATTTTTTTTATTTGTGGCACGATTGGGCTCTCGTAGATTTTGGCATATTATTTGTTCAGGGAAGACCTCATATCGACGAACGCATACACGTATTTATTAAGGAATCATAATGTTACTGGACTACTAGCGCCAAAATTTTGACCCTCGAAGTTCACTCGCACATTAAAGCTGACACTTTGTGTGTGGTTGTACATGAACCATTCAAGTGCAGCTTTTCGAAAGTATTTCACTGGGTAATGTTATAATTATGGCCTCAAATGGCACAATCCAGGATTGTGACAATGTCGAAGCAAAACCAGACCATACCTTTACGTGGCAATGCGGTTGATAAACGTGTGGGATAATAGTTGGGCGCACTTTCCATCGTTTTGTGTTATATGTAGTAAATCAAAATAGGTATTCTCAGAATGTGAAGAGAGAGATCTGAGCGCTGGTAAGAAATATGCCTAATGAAAAGTGAAGACGACGTTCGTCACTATATCGTCTGCTTCCTTGCACTTTGGCTCTGTCGGATGACGTAACCGTTTCATGTTCCTTTTTTTGTGTGCCACCTTGAACAAGTTCCTAGTTATTTCTTTGAGGTCGTATTTCTTGTTAGGGCTCATGAAAACACACCACACAGCTTGTACGGGGTGCGACACTGGTCCAGTATTCAGCATTCGTGGTGCAAACAAAATTGTTTCTGTTTATTGCACATATTTTTCATGGAAGCTAAAACATCCAAAAGAGAAATACCGTACCAGTCGTTCGTTGATACGAATGGCGGTAAAAACAAAAGCGAATCGCCGCCATAGGACGGAAACCCTACGGGGAGAAGACAATGATGGTCCACAACGACCATTCTCATAATAGTTTAATTCATGTCTTACGTCGCTGCTTGAAAATACGTTTACGTAAGCTTCAAATTGACTCCTTCGTTAAATGTAACAAACTCGGGCTGCTTCTTTTCATAACTTCTTCGTAACTGTGAGACATTATAGGTTGGTTTCTTTTCACTTTGACCTTTGAAATAGCTTTATACATTAGAAGTACATTTCAACTGTAGTTGTGTGTACTTCGGGTTTGCCCACCAGTGCAAAGCAAGTCCAAAAGCCGCTTATATTTCCATATTATTCGTGATGAGTTGGCATGCACAAGAAGACTCGTCGTGTAATGCTGACGACAGTGGCAATCATGGTAGCTTTAAGGTGCAAATAACTGTACACCAATGTACGTGTACGTGTAATGTATTACCTATCCGCGTCCACCCTTCCACAACTATTGGACATGAAAAATTTGAGGGGCCTCAACCCCCCCCTCCCGAAAAAATATTAGGATCTACCCCTTAGGAATCTGGTTATAAAGATGCAGAAGCAAAAACGATGCCATTATTTTTCCTTAGGTTTTTCCGCACATTTTCTTTTTTTTTTCAAATCCATACCTTGTTAACTTTAAAGTTCGTTTCAGCAAGCAGTGGCGCAGCCAAAGAGGGAATGCGCCCAACCAGCCGGATTCTTTCCCTCTTGCCCCAACCCGAACTTGGCTACACCATTGTCTAGAAAACTGGAATGCACAAACTGCTACACACCAACTCCACCAAATACCGACAGTACGCCCATAAAATATCATCGACATTTTAATAAAGGTTTGTCTTCGAGCTCATAGCCCTCTGCGTCCTCGCTTACCTTCCCACTTTTCTAACTTTGTTCGCCGACGATAGCAGTCAAAATGTGAATTTTCGGTATTTTAGGCTTGATCCCATAGAATTCAAGTAAAATCTGAGAAGCCTATAATTTACCTACCTATCGGATACGTTGAACGGAATATACCACTTCAGTTAGCTCTTCATAGTGCTGTACATCAGCATATCAGTGTAGGTTTTTGACATAGCAATGTTCAGCAACATATGAGAAGCAGCTATAATTGCTTGTTTCGTACGCTTTGTCAGCTGCACGAGAAGTCAATTCCAATTACAAGGAAGTTTATCCTGAAAAAAGTTTTCAGTGTACGTGCATGCAATGGAGCTAAGTGATCATTATTTCCTTTCCTTTGTTTTATTTTTGGTTTGAAACTTTTCAGGTTTCCGTGACTGTGTTTCCTGTTATTATCAACAACACGACAATAGGGGAAGGACACAAGAGTTCGAACTGCCCGGGCTGTAACATCTGGCCAATTACCGCTTTCTAGCATGCCTGGTACGTCTATAGCAAGAGCGCAGCTAACGCTTGCTACGCATCATCTGTTCACAACCACGAAACCCCTTTGTACCCTATGATCGCCGCCGCAATCTGCATCCTTAAAACTTCGTGTACTGAGGTATTGGAAATTGAATATTCATGCCTTTGTTGGTGCTTGGTGGATCCCATGACAACATCAAATTTAATGCTTGTGCAGTTGCTTGCATTACGCAGTGTGCCCTAAATCTATACGTGCAGTCATTGCCCTTAATGAACTCTTTCTTCTGGAGTTATTTTGGGAATAAATTATCCAGTTGTGTTTTGTTTGAATCATTTTTATTGTCGCTTTTGTACAAAAGCGTATTTTATAAGATTTCACGATCACTCCCTGTGATGAACTAGCGCATTTTGTTCCTAATGAACTAAGCTTTCCAGTAGTGAACGTTTTGTTGGCCAGTCTTAGCCAAATTTGTACCAAGTCTTTGAACACTGATGTATTGGACGGAGAAGAAAATTACAAACTTTGCATGGATAATGGAACAGTGTATCAAATTTTATAAATTTATTTAAGATGGCAAAAATAGGTCTAATATCGGGAATTTTTCTCTCTCTATTTCCTGGTCACATCGATAATTTGTATTTAATTGCCTGCAAAAAATACAATTATTGCTGGGATATTACTGGCCCCGCTTGTCCGGCTAAGATGCAGGCAGCAATAAGGTATTTTTGGAATGTTTTCCATTATTCATCGGACTCGCGGCGACCGTCATTAAAGACTTTGAAGTGCACGAGTTGCAACTCCTTCTGTGTCCTTCCTCAATGGTCCACCCCTTCCACTTAGTTTGTGCGCATGCACTGAACTTCGGCAAAGCCGCGTTCACTTTCTGTTGTGTCGCCAGCCAGCACACGACTATACCGAAATCCAGGCGGAGATCTTCCACATTGTGTAAAAGTTTGTTGAATTGATTCTAGAGAAATTAAATCAGGCTGCCGATTTCATTTTGTTATTTCTTTCTTGTTAATCATTGGTGACATTTCTGAGAAAATTGGGTGAAAGATGTCTGTGCACGTTACATTTCCGAACGTAAAAAAAGGTATTTTAAAATCGAAATTTTGAACTGTTCTCCTGTTTTTCCACACCCGCTGCATATCATGGTAATTAAAAGAGTGTTTGAAAAAGGATAGCGTGTTATGGTTAAGCTATTGCAAATTGTCCTTGGTTAGTTTTATCAATTTCAATTTGGGCTCTCTGTCGATTGATGGTCGCCATGATAGCACGATTTGCATGTACAGGTTTAAGTCCACTACTATGGATAAATGACTATCGTGTGCAAAAAACTATCAATTTGCAATAACTTGAAAATACATTTACTACCGATGTTTTTATCAGGTCTTAATACACACGGCACTTTATGTCGTTTGTGTTAATAAACGAGAAATGGTTTTAAATGGGAATGACCGTGGACGTAGTTTCTTTCGAATCTGGTCGTGTTTATTATTTTAATGGATCTACCTATTAATGACTGATGCCTGATTGTCTAACAACTGCCCCCGCCCCCCCAAAAAAATCGTTCCGCCACCGGTGATACCATAGAGGAAGGACACAGAAGGAGTTGCAACTCTGGCACTTCAAAGTGTTCAATGATGGTCGCCGCCGAGTCAGACCAATAATATAAAACATTCAAAAAATGCCTGATTACTGCCTGCATCTTTAACAGCCGGACAAGCAGAGCCTGGAATATCCTAGCAATAGGCCCTACTAGTATATATTTGCTTGCAATTAAATAAAAATTATTGCTGTGACAAGGAAATAGAGAGATAAAAATCCCTGATATTAGACCCATCTTTGCCATCGTAAATAAACTTTTTACATTCTAATACACCGTTCAATTATCCATACAAAATTTGTAAGTTTACTTTCCTCCGTCCAATACATCAGTGTTCAAAGACTTGGTACGAATTTGACTAAGACTTGCCAACAATATGTTGACTACTGGGAAGCTAAGTTCATGAGTAACAAAATGTGTTATTTCATCAAAGGGAGTGGTCTTAAAATTTCATAAAATACGCTTTTGTACAAATGCAATAATAAAAATGATTCCAACCAAACACAAACTCTTGTAAACAACCGGGCTATTTATTCCCAAAATAACTCCAGAAGAGAGACCTCATTAAGGGCAATGACTGCACATATAGATTTAAATTAATTTTAATTTTGATTAAATTTGATGTTGTCATGAGATCCACCAAGCACCAACAAAGGCGTGAATATTCAATTTCCTATACCTATTACCAGCCACAAATTGCAGCGGCGACCATAGGGTACAAAGGGGTTTCGTGGTTGTTAAACCGGTGGTGCGTGCGTTTGCAGCACTTTGGCTATAGACATACCAGACATGCCAAAAAGCGGTAATTGGCCAGATGTTACAGCCCGAGCAGTTCAAACTCCTTCCGTGTACTTCCTCTATGCTGATACTACGCCATAGGATTATGGTACTGTCATTGGTATTAAAGGGTGTCCTCCGCAAGATTGCCATATGATGCAAGATATGTGGGAAAGGGGGACCCCCCTCTATTGTGTCTTCTTTTGTGTCGATGGAATCTTTGGAATTCCTTTCAGATTTCTGAGAGGGGTGCAGTCATTTAANTTCTGGGGGAATGTGTTAGGCAACAATAGTCTAGCACTATGAATATCAGCATCATGAATTTGCCGTTAATTTGCAATTTCACTGTGAAATTGTTTTTCCACTGCAACTTCATGGCAGTTCACATGATGAAAACACCGTGAAAATCATCCCGGATGTGACCCCTTGCCGACACCTTGAGGTCAAGTGAAAACACCGTAAAAATGCAGTGAGCCTATCAAGGGGACCTTCCTCATTAACTTTGAGGTGGGGCTAATCTTTTAAATGCTTTACGGACCTATTATGTGAATCCCTCATAAAAAGTACCATTACCTGTCTTCTTACTGTGGTGGTGACAGGTGTAAATGTACACTGAACACCCCAATCACAGTGTTCGCATCCTTGCAATGTACTTGTAACCCCGGCCAGGTTGTTCATACACTACTTCATGGCCCGTAGCTGAATGAGAACATTGTAGGGACTTCAGCAAAACGACTTCCCACAAATTATGTCACCTCACAGAAACATTTATTTCAATTTTCTGTGATTATATGTGATTTATATTTTATTTGCTTGAGTAGAGTTATACTCATGAATATTCTGGAAATTCATAATTCCCATGGCCATTTATGATTACTCATCGACAATTAAACAACAGTCAGCACCGAGTACACAATGTTATGCATGATGTTGGAGCAGAAAACATTAGTGCAAAAAAGAACGTTGAAATTTGGGGGAAGACGCGGACTAGTGAAAATTCTGCTTATGGACTAGTAAAAAGCCATCACTGCTGGCCCGGCTGGCAAGTGAGAAAAACGTTACGGGCAAACCCTGTCCATGCACGATGCTAGATTGGACAATGATGTACACGCCGTTGCTATCCTCGCTCGCTCTGATGCTACATTGTCGGCTTTGTTATTCCACCACTTTGTATACAGTTTCACAGTCTTTTGGCAATTCCATAATTCGATGTGGTAACTTCGCCACTCAATGTGCCTTTTGCCCACAAAAGTTGGAAATATTTATATGTCTCCTGTATGTGGTCAAGGGGGTGTTGTGACATCTAACACCAAGTTTCGTGGAATTTTATGAATCGTGTCACATTTTAGGGCTGAAAAAAAAACTTGTGTCCTTCCTCCATGGTTCTAAATAAGCAAAATGTGCTTATCAACTTTTCAGCTGCATCCGGCAAATTTGAGCCATCGAACGTGTATCCATCTCTTCTCACAGCTCAAAAAAGGAAATATCAATCCTGTCTTTCCCTCACAAAACACCTGCTTTACATTCACAACATGTGGAAAGAAAATTTTGTGGTTTTCACAAGTTCCATTCGCATTTCACTAGCACGGTTTCGAAAACACGCACGCAACATTGCTTCATGGAAGGTTTCCGCTGGTTCCCGAAGGCCCACACCTAAACAGGGGTATTCAATCGCTCCTCTTGTTGGTAACTGCTGCGCTAATTTCTGGCTGTCTATCACACTAATCTTTTATTACACTTTGACAGTTAATCCGCTGTTTTCACACCTTCCACGGTGGGAAGCTGGACTAGTGTACCGTTATGAATAACAATAGGACCATAAGCTACCAATATGTTGACGTGAAAAGTCTGTGAAACTGTTGTGAGCTAATCCGCTCCCAAGCTGACTTTCCACCGTGAAAACGGGCTTACATTGCCTTGACAAAAAATTCACGGTGATTTAATGGTAAAACTGCATTTTCACGGTGTTGAAAGTTCACAGTGAAAGTGTGTATAGGGATTGGACAGGTAAGGGGGGTACCCATCCGTCCCATATCTTGCCTGGTATAGGTGCAGTAGGCACAATAGCCTTTTGGTATACAGCTTGTGCATCACCTTGGGGGGGTCCCCCTTTCCCACATATCGTGCCTGGTATCAAGATTGCATTGGCCTCGGGCAATATTAGGAAAGAATGACCCATCCTATATAGTGATTAATGCTGCACGTAAACTTTTCATTCTGTGTGGCTCACTTCTTGGAATGGAACACCTTTGAAAAAATAATGACTGTATGACGTATAAAAGTTGAGTCATTATGTTTTGAAAGTTAATGTGCGACGTTTGAAAGTTAAACCATGGCATTAACCTGGTTGGCACAGTGCTTAAGAGAACGCGTTGAAGCGAGCTGTTTTTCCTGAAATGAAATATATTTTGGGGCTCTAAATGTGAAACATTCAAAATTGATCTTTTCAAACAGGAAAGAACTTGAAAAAGGAATACATTTCGGCCCCGTTTCGAACAGGGGTTATTTTATTTAAAAGCCTCCTTATACTCCTGCTGTGAGATGGTGCGATCAGAGTCGTGTATTATAAAGAAAAGTTGCGAGATGAGTGTCACCATTGTTTGAAATATAGGTACTGGCAGGTGTATTAGTCAGCCGAGCCAGTGCACAGGACAGTTACATACAATCGCCGAACGCTCGAATGTACTCATATTGAACAGCCATTTTTGCTTCCAAAATTCGAAACTGGCGCTATGCTCTTTTCATACATCTCTGCAGCCGATCAGAGTTGTAGAGACTAGCGTCAACTTCAGACTTCGTTTTGGAACCAAAATGGCTCTTCATTATGTGTGCAGTACTGCATGGTGTTATTGTGTGGTAACTTTCCATGTGCATGTATGCAGAATCCACCAATTTGGTTCCAACAGTTAAGACACTCATGTCGCTACTCATCGCCGCGCCGACCCATGCTTTTTGCCACCAACCGACAATCTCTCTCCGTGACGCGTGCGGCGCGCCGCTGTCCATGATGACGCCCTCTTGCAGCAGTTGGTTTGTGAATAAAGAGCAAAGTCTTGCTTGAGAATCCTTCCCATGAATCGTCGGCTTTTGTCTCAGGCTACGACTACGCAAAAACAATGAGATTAAATATTGTTGACCAAATCAGAGTCACAGTGTTAACTGATTCCTTGACAAAAACACGATTTTTTTCTTATCAATTGTTTGAAAATTTCTAACATACTGTGAATCCGTCAGTAACTTCTTGAACAAGTACTAAACATTTTGAAGATAAAAATTATCGCAACATTATCGCCAAACAAGAACACGACGCGACGTGGCTACCGTGTCTTTTGCAAATGTAGGCGTGTGATTGTTTTCAGTACTCTGCGCAGTGCACATTGTTTGAAATTATAGCAAAAAAATTACAGCAGCTGTCAGGCAATTTGAGAGTTGTGTTCTAAAATCGTTGGAGTGTAAGCTTTAATCACAACGACTGCGCAGGTTTTAAACCCAGTAAGGCGATACAACATGTAAAATGTAGTCAGCTCAGTTGCAACATGGATGTCATGACGGATTAAACAATAGCAGTGATTTGTTTATTCATAAATATGCCAATCTATAAAATATTATGTTTTGTTTAAATTACTCCATAATGTTGATTAAAACATAAGAAGTTTCCTTTCAATCGAAGGAGTACAACCCTCAAATTTCCTGACAACTGCTGCAAGTTTTTGCTATAATTTCAAACAGTCGAAAAACAATCACACGCCTACTTTTGCAAAAGACACGGTCGTTTTATTTGAGACATACTATAACTATAACATCATCATCAAGTTCAAATAAGCAGTTTATTTCATTGAACATTCAAACGTTCCATGTGATCAAATCGCCACCGTTTCAAGAAGTGACAATTTTCCTTAAGGAGAACAAAAACTAAGCCTTTGAGAAAGACGCGTTTTAGTTTTTTCTTTTACGTAAATCAGTTTTCAAAACAATTGTCGAGAATTGTCAAAATTACCTTAAACAACTGATTAATCAAGTAATTTGCAAAAAAAGCATCTTGAATGGGCAAAAAACTCTAAACACTGTACTGTCCTAGTTCAATTCACTCACGTAAAATCCTTTCCCAGGGGAAATCTTTAAAAAATCTTGCCAATGTGGATTGCGCGCTATATCTTCATACAATAAGATTGATCTCTTTGTATCAAAAGTACAGTTCAGCTGAAGTTCCCCGTGCCGACTGTACCACCGATTTTGCGGCATAACGTGACTGGTATGCAAAAAGAGAAATTCAATAATTGACGACTTTGAAAAAAATGTGTCTCTTTGTAAAAACGGTAACAAAAGTTTTCTATTGAAAATCCCAGTGCGTACAGTACAATCATTTGTGCTTTACGTAATGACTATGTCCTCAAACTCCATTCGTAGTAATTATACAGTTTCCACAAGTTGTTCAAATTTTCAAAGATTAAACATCTTGTGTAGGCCTACATAAGAAATTTTCAGGTTACAAAATAGCAGTTAATCGAGTACAGCTAACTACTCAGCCTGCCTCAGTAACTTTTGTAGCAGTATTTTTGCCACTCCACAAAGGTGCCGGTAACACATTAGGCCTATGCATTATACATTATGCATTATAGGCAGTGAACTACGTAAAAGCTTCATCGTCAGTAAGCGAGTCGGGGACACGAAGGAAAAGGAAAGGGGGTGGGAGTTCGGTTGAGCTAGCTAGCGTACATAACTAAATTTACAGCATTTTCTGCGGTTCGAATCCCAAAGAGTGCTCTTCTCCGTTTTGTCTCACTTGTTCATTCTGTTTCCTGTTGGAAAAGACAGTTGGAAAAGATACAAATTGAAAGGGTATTTAATATACTGCCTAGATTTGTATCTTTGGAGTTTGTTTTTAATTCATTTAGGGAATGAATGGAATGAAGTCAGGGAAACCTCGACACGTTATCGAGTTGAACCTCGATGATTATCCTGACAACAATATCGCGTCATACCATAATATGATTATTGGCTCTTTGTTGAAAAGATTCGTTTATTAAAGCTTTGGGTAGTTGGATTGAGTGATTTAAAATTATCAGTCACCCTTTAAGGCAGCGAATAATTCAACGAATTATTTGATTGGTTTTTAATGGAGATCGTGTAATTTTTACCAGCATAGGCTCAGCGGTATGCACGGTGTTAAAAAAAATGATGTGGTATTTTTAAATGTTGCTCTAATTAATGCACTTATAAATATTCGCTGTCTGCATAATAGAAAACAGAACTGTGATTTGAAATTATTTCAACATGCGCACATGAGAAGCGCGTGATCTTAAAAGTACACACCGTTGTCTCCCCAGAGGGGTTTTGTTTCTTGGTTAATAAAATAATAAGGAAAAAGTTCTCTGTCTTTTTTGTTTACGATGGCTCAAGCAGAAGTTGGAAACCATAGCCCACGCTCATTTTTAAACTCTTCCCAGAACAACACCCTTTGGCAACAGCGTTTTAAAGCATTGCCCATAATCCCTCCCCCATCCGAAATTCTCCTGGTGCAATTTCAAGTGGTGTTTTACCGGAAAAAAACTTGGAGAGTGCAAAATTTACTCGCTTTGAATATTCTGGTCAGTCCAACCAACCTGGTTAAAGCCCAAAGACTGCTTTACGAATCTACTTATTCTTACATGTGCATGGGAGTGGTTTAATACGGCGGCGGGTTCATCAAATGGGGATTCCCCACGAAGACCTGTTTTGCGCAGCAACGCCCATAATGCGCCGCAACCAAAGGAAAAACCTTGAGCAGAATGGTACCGGCCAAAATTAATGCGGAAGTTCTCAGAGTACTGCACGCCTCGTCGGGTGCGAGCAGCCTTGGAGAAAATCACACGCCATAAGACTAGTCGACGGCAGTGGTTCTGTCATGGTTGCCTCTGTAAGTTCAGGGACGGTCAGACGATCATAAACCGATTCCATCCTCAGCCTGTCCTTTTTTTTCCAGTGTGATCTGAAGCCCACAGCAACTTATTGCAAAAGGAATTTCTGTACTTCTGTAGTCTTCTATTGGTGGACTAGGAATTGATCTCGGAACCTGCATAACTAATGATCTCAGGACCTAATAATAGTAAGTTTGGGTGGTGTACTGCTTTTACTTTTTACACGCACAACTATTGTGTCACGAGTTATCGAATCGACACGAGTCACACGGGCTTGTGTGACACGTGTGCTTGTGTTGAACATTTACCTTACATTCGACAGTTGCTCGTACACTGTATGTGGTTTACCGTTAAGCCAATCTGGAGCACTCTGCAGAATTTGGACAATAAACAGTTCCTTAAAAATTACAAAACTTTGACGTGTTCCGAGCTTTGACTTCTGCTCATCAGTTTTGTGTTACGCCCTAACACATTTTTGTCAACTCACCCTGATAAATTTGGGTAAGTACTACTTGGCACCTGAAATAATTTCACTAAGTTTGACAGATGCATATAGAATGCAATTTGTTCATCTCTCTGAGAGATACACCTTTAGTAGCACCTTAAATACTGGGAACATTGGGAAATTGATTGGGTGGGTACACTGACAAGCCTAAGAAGTCTGACATTTATCCATGTAGTGACTGTCAATAAAACTGTATTTTTTTTTCTGAATTTGGGCTGTAGTGGGCTGGGTTTTTTTTTAAAGATACCGCACTGTCTATCATTTTGCAGTTATCCCAAAACTAACTTGACAAAAATTATTGTTGAAAGGCAAGGTTCTGTTTTTAATTGCCGTTAATTAAAAGCTTGAGTAAGCATTGACATGACACACATGGTTAGTACTGTGATTCGTCAGTTTAGTGCATGACTGGAGTAGGTGCATTCAACTAAACGTAATAATGTGTCCCATCATGATGCTGAATTCAGGCACAATGCAAAACGTGATTCAGCAACTTTTGATCTGAAATCCAAATCCTAGAATTTTTTTTCTCAGAACATACAGTGTTCCCCGAGCCGAGGCTTCATAGGTTTGTTCTGATGCACCTCTCTTTAGATTGTGTTGCCTCAATCACTAATAACGCATGGCTGATTTTGCACAACTGTGGAAAAGGCATTGTGGGAAGGGAAATTTTCTTTCCGCAAGATGCCTTACTATTGTGCTTAATAGAACGCATAATGCACATATGTGACCCACTCTGCAAAAAGGAGTCTCAAGTCGCCAGATCCACTTTTTGAGTTTTCATTTGTATTGGAAAGAGCAAATTCAGTTTCTTGTTTTGATGTATCACTCAGTTTGGCATCCTGATGAAAGTGGATACTCCATGGTGAAAAATGCTGTGGGTTCGTATTGATTTACACTGTGCAAAATTATTATAAAGGACTTTTTACTCACAAGTGGCTCTAGGGACTTAAGACTCGTTTTCACAGAGTGGGTCACATATGACAAATGATAGACAGTGAAACAGAGCTTTTCATGGGCTTGAAGTCAGTCAGACAAAATCTGGTGGCAACATGTATACATATACATGTACATAATGTCCAGTGGACATGTACATCTTGGTGTTAAGTTGCATGCATTCATTAAAGGGGTCACCATTCATGCCTGGAAACACAAGTGTGATTGAATAGGTCAAGTTGTGTCCTTGTGTTTCATCGCAGACACATATCCAAGTGCTTAGCTGAATGAGGGAGTCTGTTTGTTTTCTGAAATAACATAGACACCCATAATGAAAGAACTTTTCATAGTATCACTTCCCATGTTTGTATAAATATGCATGATCAGTGTAGAGTGAACATATGTAGTTGAGAGAGTTCTCTTGGCTCTTAACAAATCAGCACATTAGGCTTTATTGAATATTTTTCTATTCAATTGATTATTGAATGTGAGTGGTTGTTAAATAAATGGAATTGTCATTGTGAAAAAATGGAAAATAAAAAAGGAAATAATTAATTTCTTTGGTTACAGTGTTGCATTCTAAAAGTGTATTTCAAGGTAATTGATGCACGTGCCCACACAAAGATCCAAAATTTGATTCCTTCAAGTTATGGTATTTTGTTTTTTTAATTTATGTGTTTGGTGCCCCATGGACTAAGAAAATAAATAACCAATTTCCTTTGCGAGTTAACTTTGACCCAAATGTGGTACACTGAGTTCTTTAAATTCACATGAACATAACAGCTTGAATTCTCCATACTAAAACCACCGTTGCTATACCAAGGCTTGTGATTCGGGGCAAGCTTTTGCTTAGTTACATACATGTACACATAAGAGACGCACAAAGGAACCAGTCCATTCCAGAGATGGTGGTTGCTATGCAAAAGCTTGCCCCAAATCACAAGGTATAGCAACAGTGTCTTTAGTCCGAGGAATTCAAATCGTTATGTTTATTTGCAATCAGATAACTCAGTGTACCAGATTTTATTCAAATTTAACTCGCAAATGGCTTATTAGGATTGGACACCAATAGGCCTTTTACATAGTTTCTTGATTTAACCCTGATAGTCCTCGATCATCCAATTGCAGTATGATCTTATTATGTGCACCCTGAGGGGTTAGGGTTAACAAAGGAAAGAACCCTCGTCTGGAATCTGAACTAGGTAAACTACCACACAAAAGTCCATTTGGTGTTTTATTTGATACTGTCAAATATTCAATTGGTGGGTCATTCTGTAGATTTTGGGTCTGAAAATGTGACAATTTTGTTCCCCTTATTACACCTTACCTGTTTAATCTGACATGTACATGTATAACTGAAATTGATTTCAATTTATTTCTCTTTGTTTGGCAAGTGATTTACATTAATTTATCACTCTCGGAAATTAGAGAATGTGTTCTGAACTTACAAATCAAATATCAGATATGACAGGGACACACACAAAATTGGACCCCTAATTTATAGAAAGACCCTGATTTAAAGATATTCAATTATTCAAATTGACTCAGCCTTAAAGCACTTACTGTACAATATGCATATGTATGGTTATTCCAGAAATTAGAGTTCCAGTTTTTTTGTGTCCCTGTCACATCTGACGTACGAATTTGTAAGTTCAGAAGACATTTTCTAATTTCCAAGAGTGATGAATTAATGTACATTACCTGCCAATTAAATAGTAATAGTTTGAAATCAATTCCGGTGATAATTCCATGTCAAATAACAAAGGTCAGATGTTGCAGGGACACAAAAGGGTCACACTTTTGGACCCCTGATTTCTGGAATTACCCATATGCCTTTACATGTACATGTACACCCATCAGCACCTTGCTTCAGAAACTACTGCTACTACCATGCCTCATGCATATTCATGATTGAGGGGGTGGGGGCATGGGGCATCCCCTTGGTGTCCTCTACCCACTTCCATCATTTCATATTCAAGATGTGCCCGGCCTGTAGAAACCACATTAAATATGCTGCACTGCCCCCTTGAAAAAGTGTGCCACGTTGTGCGCCCCCTCAGAAAAATAAGTTTTCGGACTCCGCCTTTGTGTTGAATTCTTTTATCTACTTTCACCAAAATCCTCCACAAAATTTGGGCAATTCCGTAACTTTTTATCTCCTGTTTCCTATCTCTGCTTTTCACAGTCCTTGATGAACTTCTCAATACTTACTGTACTTTTATTCACATGCGATTATACACGTGCATGTACATCTTTGATCAAACTACACGTACTAAACACACTGTTAAAAATAGTTTGAAGTCAAAGTCAAAACTCACCTTTTGATTTGTATGTTTATCTCAAATACATGTATTTGTCAATTATTCCATATGTGAAACTCCTCACAGCAGTAGAAAACAAAGCTTTAAACTTGTTAACCCTAACTAATTGGGAAAAGGGGCTCATGACTTTGTGGTAAATTTTGGAGATGGATGCATTTACCCACACAGCAGAAAGGGAGTATGTGTGTATGATATTTAAGCTCTAAATTCTAATTTCAAATGTTATGCAAGGTCAGTGCAATGCAAGAGTGGAATTTCTTTCATTTTGTTACTTAAAGTAACTGATTATATTAGTAACTGTCAAATATCAAAGTGGAAATAACAGGCTGTAAGGGTGGGACGTTTACACGTTGAAACGTTTAAACGAAACAAGTTCCAAACTTGTTACAGATTTTCCCAAATGTTTAAACGGAACTGCCCCTTTTAGAGGTTTGATGTTTTGCTTGACACAATCGGGCATTCATTTTTATTGTAAACAATGCCAGTAAAATTCTTGAAACACTTTTCCCTTTTGGCATCCATGTAGTCTCCTTTTTGAGAAAAAAGTGGATTCTAATACAATAAGCACTGCTTGTTTAAATGCCCCATCATCCATCTACATTTTTACATACGTTGGGCCGTGTGCATTGTTGAACTATATGATTATGCATACACACTAGGGTACCAGGCAGCAGTGGCCTCTGTATGAAACTTCTAGTTAAACGTTTAAAGGTTTAAATGGTGTGGGAAAGTTTTCTGAAGGTTTTTCAAATTAACTTAAATTCCCATCCTTAGAAGACCGTGCCTTTTACTTCTATGCTTTGCAACACTTCTTTTCATTTTGAAAATGGAAAATAATGAGTTCGGTAACGGAAGGACGATCAAATGTCCAATCTCGAGTGGATGTACATTAGACCTGAAATGTAACAGGATTTGTGTCAATTAAGTCGCAGGAAACCCAGGAGTTAGCCAACCAGTGTTTCGTGGAGCCATGGAAGAACCGACCAAAAAAGTGTTTCTGGCTGTGACTCTCTGTGCCTTTCACCTGGCCTGTGTTGCACAAAAAATTGGGCAGCTTTCTGCCTACGAGGTGGCATCCTTCACAAACCCACATCCCGATTCCAACGCCAAACTCAACCATGCTACTTTCCATGGCCCCTCAGATGTCTACGTTGGGGCAGTGAACTCAATTTACCGACTGGATGAGAATTTAGTACCTTTGAGTAACGCCAGCACAGCCTTCGATTGTCCTGACGCAGAGGACTGTGCCAATGAAAACAAGATCCTCTTTGTTGAACCCACCAGAAATAGACTGGTCACATGCGGGAGTGACAATGACGGGAGGTGTCAGCAGAGGGATCGAGATGAACTGACAACTGTTACTACAAATAGTGTAATTAGAGTATCCCCAGGTAGAGGCAAGACCACTGTTGGTGTGCTTGCACCTGGCCCTGGGGGAAGAGACTGGTTTTATGTGGCATCCACGTACATAGGTGATCCAATGTTTCCACCCATTGCAAGACGAAATTTGGATCAAAGTCTTCCTGATCTGAGACTACTTTTTTCTGATGAAGACTCAAAAATAAGTTTCAATTCAGATTACCGAAGCCGGGCATTTGACATTAGCTATGTTTATGGCTTTACATTGAACAATTTCACCTACTTTGTCACTGCTCAGCAAGAAACAATCGGATCTTCTGCATTTGTTTCTAAATTGGTTCGTGTTTGTCACACCAGTCCCAACCTGGATTCATACAGTGAGATCATCCTACACTGCGGTCAAGAATCTGGCTCCTATAACCTTGCCCAGGCTGCTCACTTTGGACAAGCCGGACTGGAGTTGGCAGAATCTCTTGGAATCGCCCAGTCATCCGAGATGCTGTTTGCTGTATTTGCAACCAGTGTTGGAAGCAGTGACACACCTAGTGACAGGTCTGCTCTGTGTGCTTTCAATATGACTGAGATTGAAGAAGCATTCGTGACGGCTGTACAACGGTGTGTGCAAAACGGAGATGCTTATAAAGTGGGATATCTGGAAGGAAATAAATGTGCCACAGTAAGTTTACAATGTACATATCATATTAATCATCTGTCTGTATCTACATGTACATGTAACTTCAGGCCTGTATTGTCCAGGTCAAGCTGATAATAGCTATAACCAGCAAGCTGAAATCTTTAAAAAATAGTTTTTCCCTGAGAAACAGACTCTCAATTAAATTTGAGCATTAGAGTTAATTCAAGGGAGCTGCAAATATCTTGTTGTGTACATTAGCTCAGAGGCATATATTTGGTTAATATTGGGGGGGACACAACCTGGGAATTTTCAGGGGGCACCTTATAAAGCCGATGGACTGAGGCTTGTACATGTACATACATGTACATGTGATACGGTACGTGTGTATGAAATTTTCCAAATGAGGCAGGTTGCCCAAGGAAGGGGGATACAGACCTCTACTGGGGTTATGTACATATATTTTCTTAGATGCAGGTGTATGTGCTCATCATCTCACCCAATTGTATTCAGTGCTTTAATAAGGCACCCACTTCAGCAAAGAATTAGGGGATTTAAAGAGTGCACGATGAACTTAGGAACGTGCTTTGTGCAACATTTCACTCCTCTTAGATGTGATAAAACTGACATATTTGATCACTCGCATTGTAAAAGTCGCAGCCTTTTCTTGACAAATGAGGATATTGTTGCCGGACTGCTATCATTGGACGATGCTGTGCAGGAGGCGGGAATTATGAACTCAACATTTGTTCACAGAAAACACATGTATTTGTGAGAAGTCGTTATTGAGACTACATGTATGCCAACAAAAGGAACTTCATACACGCGCCTGCGAGCAATAATAAGTTTTTGAGGTTTTTTTCCTATTTGCAGTTAACCTTCAGTAACATTCAAGCAGTGCTGTGTGACACTCGCAATCTGTACACTTTTGCCAGTAACCCTGAGGGTGTTACAGCCATGCCCCTACTCCAAGTGGAGGATTCACGACTGTCATCGATCATCACCAGCACTGAAATGAACCACACCGTTGCTTTCATTGGAACTTCACAAGGGTCGCTGATGAAGGTTGGTGGACAGGATCAATCAATCAGGTGGCATAACACATTGGCATTTTAAAAATAAAAACATGCTTGACAGTGTAGTAGCGTCTGCAGTGCAAACTAATGCACTGACCTGCATGTGCATCCATTTATGCTCATTTCAGGGCCTGCCACTTTTTACTTCTGCAAATCTCTGTTTTCATCCCAGTTATGAAAAGAAGTATATGGATAATGATTATCGAAAGACTTAAAAGTATGTATCTTTTAATTTTCGTAAGAGTCACAACAGTGGGTCAAATGGCATATTATGTAGTACTAGCATTGACGGAGCCCGGTGCCTCTCATAATCTGAAACCAGTCCTGTCTGTAGTCACATTTCAATATTTTCAAGAACACAGCCAACAGCAGGCTTATAATTACATGAATCTCAGGACACATGTGTTGAAGATGTTAAGAAAAGAGGCACATCCGTACAAATAGTTAGGTTTTGCAATATTTAAGTTCATTCAGGTTTGAGTTACGTATATGTACTGTATTTATCCAATGTGGCCATATCATGGTTTCACTTTCACTGATGACACACGTCATGTTTAATGTACATGCAGGACTCTGTTTCTTTCTATGGTTATTTTATGGCATTTGGGTGTCCATTAATTTTCCCTGTAACTCTCTGTTGTTGTGTTGTTTGCATTTGCTGTTATTGCTCTTTGCACACTGCCGCCATTGGCACGTAGAGCCTTGAACTGGCAGCTTGTACAATCACGTCAGAATCACTTCGTCCAGTCACGTGGTATAAGAACGATACGCAGCTTGCGCGAAATTTCAAATAACATTCAACAGCATACAAAGGAATCACTGAACCTGCTATGTTTGTTGTGCCAAGCTGCCAGATTGAGGCTCTGCATGCCTATGGCGGCAACGTACCAAGAGCGGATAGCTTTCTTGTTCATGTTTGTCACCAACTCTGTTGAAATGAAACACAAGTCACCAGAGCCGTTTTGAGTTGAAAGCCTGTGAAAGAATTGTGCACAATGTAAAGTAGTCAACATCTTTCACCCACACAATGTCCAAAGTGAGTGATACATCAAAACCAATTCATGTAGCTCCGTTTATCTTTCCAATACAAATGAAAATTCAAAGAGGCTAAATGTATCTATTTGGTGACTTCTGCCTCATTTTTGTTCCATATGCCTTAATTGCTGTGCCTACATGTAAACTGTTAAATACTTTTTTTTTGAAAATTTGATTTTTTCCTTTTTTGTCTTTTTCCTGTTGATTTTCTGATGTGTCCACTGGTGGGGGAAGCAGGGGGACACTGCTCCCCCCCCTTTTTCGACTTGGGAGTTATGCCCCCCACACACACACACATACTTTTGGCAAGTCCTTTAATAGCTGATGCCTGATAGCCTAACAAATAGCCCCTTTTCAGAAAATCATTTCCCTGCCGTTGTTTATGTCCCTGTATACTGCTTGGTCAAGAAAATAACAGTCCAGTAATGATTACTCGGTACTAGAGTCATGTACATGTACCTGTATGTGTTTTGATTGTTTCAGGTTCACATTAAAAATGGGACTTATGCAAGACAGTATGAGACCCTCAAGCTTGGAGACAGTGCTGTGCTAACAGACATCAGCATAAGTGACTCAAGACAAGAGATACGCATTCTAACAGAGCAACAGGTAAGTGCTTCAGCACTTTGCTTTTGATAATCCCTGGGTTTTGGCATTACCAATTAAAAATCTTTAGGAGAGATTACCCTTAAGCACGTGCGAGTTCAGTTCCTTCAAGGCAGGGAAGGAGGCAAGAGTCCCCGGCCCCCACACACTTTTTCCACTAGGGGACTCCCCCCCCACTCTTGGCAGGTCCCATAATGGAGCTGTCTATTTCATGATGAGCTCACAATTGCTGCCCCCTTTGAAAATCGCTCTGCCACCACTGGTTCCTCCCATGTGGCCTTTGGAGATAAGTTGATAAGGGTCTGTTTCAATATACAACAGAAATCCCTAGTCATTCTTTCTGAGAGACGCTTTACAATGGATTCAATGGGTTTGAACATGGCAATGCATTGTTGAGTTTCAGTAATCATAAGGAAAGAACAGTATTTTGTGAGCTATTTCTGTGACTACATGTACAGAAGGCTGAGGTGTGCTCCAGTTCATCATCTGCTGCCTGGCAGAAAGGAGTAATAACCCTAACCCCCTAGGGACCATTGAATTCCTGCATAACCTTGTTGGGTTCAGCGTGGTCTGGTGGTGGGTTAAGCAAGCTTTTACAGTGTGCTAGCCTAAACATCACAACACTCATCTGATTGCCACACAACAATGAAGATTGTAGACTAAATGTACATTAATAATGTAAAAATTAACCATGGCAAGTTGAATCAATGACATTAATGTTTTACAGAAGGTCTGCATTGGTTATTTGATCATGCTGTTTCCAAGCTCTTCAGGGGCCAGTGATTCTTACAATGTTTCAGTGAATGTTGCAAACTGTTTGCGTTGTAGCCTGTGCCCCGCATTTGCTGCAAACCTACATGTACGTGTAGTCTGCAGGCATAGTTAAAATTGAAAAATTTCAAATCGGGAATGGGCACAAATCAAATATACACATGTGTACGTGTACGTACATGTACATACCCCAGCGCTCAGTTCCCCCCCCCGGCTTCTAACATACCAGTACATATGGAAATGTCCATAAAATAAACAAAGGAGCTTGTGTGTTTGGTTGAGTTACCCATAATTCAAAAAGAGTTTTAGTTCAGTCATTTTTCTGGGTGGGACAATAAATTGATCGCTGACTTGCTAATAAGCTGATCCATTGCTTGCAAGGAGAAGATACTAGTACACTGTATCTTACATGCTCACTGCCCACAGGGCCACAGACAACATGGTTGCATGTACATGTATATATGTACAAGCATATTCAGTAATCAACAATATACTGTTGGCATAAAAATTGCCTGATTAACCAATTGCCCATAATCTGCCCAACCTACAATGTAACATCTGTTTTATTTTGGGGGGGAGGGGTTGCCCAGTAAGTACCCTGCCATGCCTGGTTTACCCTGGCGCCTCACTGAATTGTAGCGTGAATCTCATAAGCAGATGTCAGTCAAGCAGGTTTCAGGTTCTGCTCTGTTACTGTGCTCCACCAATAGTTTCCTGTCCTCAAATTGAGCATGGCACAGTAAATGTGTGCTGGTGCTATTTTTAAACATCTGTTAGTGGTTTTTTTTTTGGGGGGGTCTTGTTTTGTTTTGCTCTTTGCACCCTTTGAGATTTGACGAAAATCTGTTGCGTTATCGTAATATCATTTTTCCGCATGTATTATAATTATTTACATGTGCATGTACATGCTGGGGATGACTTCATGGACCTACTAGTACCAAGTACAGAAATATTCAGCTTACCCAGAAAATAAAGGCTGAGCAAAGGTTACCGGCCAAAATGCTGATCGATGGCATGTACATGTCCATGTACATTTATTGATACTGATTCATAGCTAATCTTACTTTGAAAGAAAGTTAGCCAGGCAAAAAAATTTCTTTGGAGCACCTTTGTGAAATGGGTAAGACAAACCTCATTGATGTGGAGACCAAGATCATGAGCTTAATTATGCAAAACCTGGATCTACATTGTAGAACCAAACAAAAATCAATCTACAATAAAGGCTCTGTCATCGCACAATGCTGTTGAATTGGCAAGGAATCTGGTTTATCACTTTTTAATTAATGCTTCCCTGCCCTCATGGGTGACTTGGCATCATTGATTTCAAAACATATAAGCTGAAAACCTGTGCTTACTAATTACATGTAGGTTGGCCCAATCAACCGATTCAGTAATGAGTAGGCTGCAATTGAGCCATCACTGCAGTACGCATTATTTGAAATGTACATGTACCTGCTCATCATTCACATGTGCGGAACACATACATGTAGATCCATATGAGGTATTGTTTCTATCCTGTGACTTTTTTCTAATAGTGCCTTGTGATATATATCTGTACATACATATAAAACACTAGTAAAATAAATGAAATGTGTGGCCATTCAAATGTCTGATAGAACAGGATGTTTAAATGAAGAACAAGTAAATTTAGCTGCTTCTGCTAATATTCTCAATACACTTAGGAAAACAACTTCCTTGTCATTCAAGGATTTGAATGACAAGGAATTTACTGTTTTTTTTAGAGTTGATTACCGTTCATCAGTGACTAATCTCATTTCTTTAAGGAGAACTTGGTTTATTCATGCTGGCAATCACATTTGGTAGACATTTTGGGTTGTAAAGTCATACATGTACATGTAAGTAAAAAAAAACAGATCAAATTTGGATAAACTTCATATTAAGATACCGGTAGTTACAAAACCATGTCAGCGTTGGAGTCAGGTGAAGCCCAAGGCTTTTATTCCTCCCCATTCCACCTCTTATGGCCTATATCATTTAGTCTGCTCTCATGCCTACTCCCTCAACAAATCACTTAAAGTACACAAAATTTGTCACGGTATTCTTTCCAGATTCTATCAAATTTAAGTGCGGAAATAGTTGTTCCACTGATATTTCTGCCTAGATGACATCACATGTTTGCTCATACCTAGTAAATGGGTATATACTCGCATTTTAAAAAAAATCTGTGTAAATGCCCTTGAAAAGTCCAAAGAAGCTGCATTGTTACAAAAGGTACAAGATCTGCCTTTGAAAAGAAAAATTTCACTGCATGGGCTCTTTAACCCCCCCTGCAGTTACTGTATTAGCAAAGGGCCAGGCAAAATTCTGACCTAAAAATTTACAGATCCAGTCCGGCTTACTTTGCCAAAACGAGTCTATTAAACTAATTGGCACACTTGCCAGAAAAAAAAAATGGACACATTTGCTGATAACTTGAACAGTAGGTCTTGCCACAATTGTCATGTGTAATTGCCCACAACCGGCATGTCATGCATGCCACAAACCAAGCATGCATGTACAATGTACTGTATGTGCTGACTCTAGAAGCTGTTTAAGACTCAGTGATGGAAAAAGCTGAAAAAAGACTTGCAGATTTGTTACGGTTGAAACACATTGTGTCCCTTCAAGACCTCAACCATTCCAAGCAGAGGCGTAGCGAAGGCATTGGGGGGGTTGCCAGAGTCAATTTGCCAACTTGTAACTTAATTGTTTGCCAACCTTGTGTCGTGTAACATTCATAAAGTGCTCCATGGTACTCTACACTTCATGCTTCAGGGAAATAGCCAGCGTATATCATTTTGTATCGTTAATTTTGGATTAATTTGCAGGCAGGAGCTCTATTTGCCGACTTGAATGATTGGGGGTGCCATGCCCCTATCCTCGATCCCCCCACCTCGGGTATTAGCCAAACCCCTCCCAGGTCCCTGCTCCTCCTGGTCAGAGCACATATGTTTACATATACATAGATGTGTACCATGCAGTGACACAGCATTGAGAGGGAGCCTGGAGGGTGGGGATCCAATGAGATTGGACCAGGACTGCACCAGTACGTACAGTAACTGTCATTAGGATTTGTTTTGCTGGTGTACACATGTTAGTTCATTGCCTCCTCATGTATCAGACTGTGCGCACATACATGTAGCATGTCAGTAGGAAAAGTTTGCGCAAATGGTACTGGTCTGTCTAATGTTGATAAAATGATTGTATTGCCCGATGGATAGGAAATATTGGGGCAGATCCCCTCCAGATGCCCTTGTAGGGTTAAGAGGGATAACTCAAAGCAAGAAAAGCTGTAGTTGAGAGTAATCATGTGTACTCTTGCTGCAGATAAATCAGTGTTACGGTGGCCAGTTTCCTATTACCAATTAGCGGTATCATACCAGGTGTGGTCCCTATACACATGTGTGCACACACACGCTATGCAAATGTACATGTACTTATGTGACCAGGAAGTTTACCACTAGATGCAAAAGAATATTGGGGATAAAACGTCCTCTCCTGCTGTTTCCTGAGATAAACTACCACACGTCAGTCATTGCTTTTTTCCCTCCTTGAAACACAATATTGGTGTGGATTGTATTCCTTGAAAAACAGTATAATGTAATTGGCTTAAGTACCCGCCATTGTTTGAGATTATACTGGTAGGATATACAGTATGTCTCACTGCAAAGTACCGCAAGTACACAAGAACAAAGTTACATTTAAATTTTATCTGTTGATAATCAGCCCCAACAGTTCAGACCATTAAAAGTCCTGGACTTTAACATTGTACCCCACATGTGCATATGGGGAGTTCATATTTTGTAGGTCAACCCAGAAAACAACTTTGCGGTGTCGGGAATGTGATACAGACGAATCTGGTGATGGTAGTAACACTGTCACTGGTCATTTGTTGTCAATGACTACTATTGCAAGAAGCCCCTGGTAGTCACTCCTTACCAAACCCACTGTAGTACCCAGTAGTCACTCCTTACCAAACCCACTGTAGTACCCAGTAGTCACTCCTTACCAAACCCACTGTAGTACCTGGTAGTCACTCCTTACCAAACCCACTGTAGTACCCGGTAGTCACTCCTTACCAAACCCACTGTACTACCTGCTAGTCACTCCTTACCAAACCCACTGTACTACCTGCTAGTCACTCCTTACCAAACCCATTGTAGTTCTATCCACCTTTAATATGGGGTCATTAGCATGTCCAGTAAAACGTCACTGAAAACAGCAATGGACATGTACATGTATGTTCAAGCATAACTTAAGAACATACGTATATGCACACACACCTGTTTTACATACAAAGTGTTGACATTCCTTTGTTCTCTGTGATTAAAGAAACTTACGGAGATTGCTCCTTTTTCTCCAACAAGGATAACTCCTTCAAGCTGGATTTTTGATGATGATTTCCTGGACTATTCCTCTTCATTTTGCCACAGATAACCTTGACTCCAAAATGCCTCTGAAACTGTTTTCCAGAGAGGGGAAAACATTGTATGGACATAAGCGAGTCCACTCGACGCCATCATACCCTGCATTATGAGGACTTCTTTTGTGCAGAGGTCCACACTATGTATGCCACGCCTGCACATTCTTCCCAATGGTCCCAAAAGAACAAAAACCTGTTTGTTTTGCTGCTGCTGCTGCTGCTGCTGCTGTTGCTGTTGTTGTGATTTTGTTTTGCACAAGCTTGATAGATGTCACAACTCCAAAAATTACTGTAACGTACATCAAAACTAACATGTACGTTATGTGAAAAAGAAAAATATGAGACCTACAGAGGCAGTGAAACTTGACACAAAAAGCCACCAAAGATTTTTCAGATGGAGGCTGGTGGGGCATATGTACCATTTCCTCAAAATGTTTGTGCACTTGTGAGCAAGAAACCCTGCTCGGTTGCATGGGCTTAAAAAATGCTACATACATATACAGTACAAAGCTTCTCTTTTTATAGTTCCAGCTACCCAGTAGCTGTACGTGTGTTTGCACAAAATCACCTTTTTCAAACACTTTTGTAATAAAATTGCATTTTATCTCGTATTGACTCACCGGTACACAAACACACAAAAGTGTTTTTGGGGCAATTGTAGACATTCCTATTGTCCTCTTTTGTTCTAACTTTTTTGGAAGGCCTCTAATATGTTTTGTACACGTTTGGCAATCGTGGACTTATCGGAAATTGTGGACGGTCATTAATTTTTTTGTTTAACGTCCACGATTGTTTTGGAACATCAGTGCAGTGGTACTTATGTGACGAATTGAGGAACTTTTGGAAAGGTAGCAACCAGACTTTGAATATGCACTACCTTATTGACTTCATGCCGTTTAATCAGTTTTCTTTTCATTGTTTCTCCACTAATGAACAACTCTACTTCTTACCCGCTTATGAGAGAATTTCTCTGTTGTTGTCATGCTCAAAACATTCAGAGTGATTTATTTCTTGTTTGTGTGTTTTCTTTTCCAACATGATTGTGGCAGCTTCTGAAATTGCGAGTGGAAAACTGTAGTCAGTACACAACCTGCGAGTCTTGCATAGGCGAGAATGCTGAACAGGACGGGGACCCATACTGTGGCTGGTGTACGCTGCACAATAGGTAATATAGCTCGTCCAAATTAATAGTGGCCACCGGCAGTGGAACGATTTTGAAAGTGGGAGGGGGGCAAGGTTAAACCATCAGGCATCAGCCGTTAATAGCTCAATCCATGAAGCCCCACCCAGTCCTGCCAAAAGTGGGCCCCCCGTCAAAAAAGTGGAGGGCTACTGGCACATGGACATGTATTTCAAATAGCAGTAAATTCTGCTCAGAACGGTGAATACATGAAAAAAATTCAGAACCCTGCTATAGCCGCTGCTTTGGGGGGGAAGGGAATTTCGTGGACCCCCACCTGACTAAAGTTTCAAGCTTTTTCCTAGTACAAATCTCATCTATTTATTTTCCCATGAAAATCCCTCTAGACTTTTCCCTTCCCCCCCAAAAAAAAAACAATTGTCAGAAATCTTCTGATTATGTGCTGGCCTCCCCCCCCATTCTGTGACCCTCAGAAGTGCTCACCTGATCTCCCTGTCTATGCTTGATTTGGTGTCAAGGACTTTGTACTAGTAACAGGAAGCTTATGGCTACTGTTGTAGTCTGGCATGCCAGTGCTTGTGCCATCCCGCTCATGGAGTTTCCGGTCTTAGAGGGAACAGCAGGCTGAAACCATTCTATCCCTGACCTGTAAATATTGCCCACACTCCATCATCTGATCGTAGGACTCCCCGTTCATTTCCTGATTGTTGCACAATGCCTTTTGTATGAGGCTCTAAAAGAGAAGAATTTGATACCAGTAAAATTCTTCCTTCACACTGGGTTATGGTCACTGTAGTAATTTCTCAGTGGACTCAGGCAAAAGTGCTTGTTTGAACCTCACAAACTGCTTGCAGAAGTTACCAAGATGAACTTTCAGTCACCTGATACAAAACAACCTTGCTGCAAGCTTTTATGAAGACAATGAGCTTGCGAAGTGAGCCTGCACCTTTGCATGCAGTGTAGAACGGATTCAGTTCAGTAACAAGCTTGCAGCAACCATGTTTCAAAGTTCAAATGCTTGCTGAAGTATGTCTCTAGCTTGCGGCAATGAAGCTTGGACAGGGCACTTTCAAGCTCATAAAATAGGCATCCCTCACAAAGGGTTATTTGTTTGTTAGCTGTGTCTTTTTTTTAGTAATCTCTCCATCACATGTCAAGCAGTGCTTGACTTAAAATGAGTTCCCAAGTTACCAAGACTAACTTCTTGAGTTAATGTACCAACTTCTGTAATACACAAATGTTGCCAACTAGAACCTTTTGTCTTTCCTCCACAGGACCACTAGTAATTATGCCAAACTTTGAAATACGCTTCCTCCTTCTGTACATAGAATACCTCTTCACGCTTTGTAACAATGTAAGATAATGCATTGGTAGTTTTCTTTTAATAGAAGGTCATGTTTTGGTGGAATTCCACTGCACAGGACCAACAGGAAATAGCGGGGCTGATACATGTCGTATGAATGTGGGTCATATTGCCATATATCCTGTCTGAGTGTAGTGGCTAGTAGAGCAGAATTAGTGATATTGTTAGGAGGTGTATATTGCTGAGGAAATGTACATGTCAGCATGGTAAAAGATGGATTACCTATGGCATTATGCATCCTCCCAGTTTTTTGGCCAAAGGAGGAACCATTTAATCATGACCCTCGTTTTTGATCGTGCAAAACAGAAATTGTGTATTTTTTATTATGTCTGCCTTTTTTTTTTTAAACTATGAAAACATAAAAAATCAGAAGAAACGGTGCAAAACCTTCTCTTTTGTATCCAGTTTCCGCAAAAGGCTATGGCACAAAAGCATGGTGCATCTTCATCAGGAATGATGCTCCAGTCATTCGGTTCTTCATCCCCCATGGCCGGCCCCCCCCCAAAAAAAACTCACACACTCCTGTGTTAACTGTCGGCATTCCTTCTGGAAACATGAGTGAGAACGAATGATAGCAATTTTGTTCGATCTCAGTCCTAAGCATCTGCAAGTGTATACACACACAACAGGCATCGTATGGTATATGTTAGAGTTTAATATGTCATCAGATATGCCTTATTGTATAGCATTTTCTTGATTGCGCGTGTTTGGAAATTACCACTCTGTCATTCAAAAAAAGGATTTTAAGTGAACCTTACGATATATGCACATGTATACATGTGAACTGGTAGTTTGTTTCTGTGTGGTTTCGTTTTGGGTTCAAAAAGACCTACTGTACATGTGTATCCTACCCCTCCTACAGATGCACCCTGCATAGCGAGTGCCCGATGGCCGGAGAATCAACTCGTTGGCTTCCTTACAACGCCGCCCAGTGTGTGAATATCAGCAGTGTCAATCCAAGTAACTTGCCCATCAGGGACCCCCAACAAGGGGTAAGCCCCTCACATTTTACTGTGTATTGAAGAGAGGCTGTGTCCAAGTCAAATAGCTGCAGCCTGGAGTTAACACACCTTCCTGTGGCTCATGATTTCAGCTGCTACCTAGTGGCCTATATAGATACTTGTGTTATATTAACCCAATGCAACACACACACCACAGCATATTTTGAACATGCTATAGGTTGTGTACGTACAGTGAGAATTTGGGCAATCCTTAATCAGCTGTTAAACTCCCATGACCATATTCATGGTGTACATGTACATAAAGCTCAGTTAAACAGTCGTTACTGCACTTGCATTTTTGTCTTTTTGCAACCAATGTTGAGAGTTCAGTTCCAGTGTGGACGTGGAGTGGGTAGAAATCAATAGTTTCATTATCATCATTCACGCCCTCCAGTGAACAAAATGACTAACAAGATTATTGCCTTGACCGCATGATTGTACACCATGCATCTGGCAGTTATTGCAACTCAGTTGCAGATCACAATCTTTTTGTGTATTGCTTGCCTCACATTATACAAGATTACGCTGCTTATTGACTTACACCAAATTGTAACATAGATATTCAGGCTTATCTGGAAAAATCAGCATATTCTGAAAAAATTCCCCATGCTCAGTAATCATAGAAACACAAACATAAAACTAGCATTCGGCTATTTGTTGAGCAAACTTAGAGGACTAAGCACCAAGAAAATTGCCAATGGTATGATACAGGGGCAGGTTTTTCAAAAAGTTTTTTCTTTCCGTTGTAAAATTTGTTCGTAAAAAGGATGATGTGCCCAGAAGTGAATGTGCAGTGCCTATACTTTCAATTAATGAACACTCAACTCTTATCACACGCTTACAGATCGGTCATTCTATAAATTTGGGTCCAATTTTTTCCCGTCCCTGTTACTACTGGCGTATGATTTTTTAATGTTTAGAAAACATATATTGTAATTTTCAAAATTAAATAAGTAATGCAACTTACCTTCAAAACAAATAAACATCGTTTGAAATGAATTTCAGTGATATACATGTACTTGTATCTTTTGTCACAGTATAGATGTCAGGTGTAACAGGGACGGACAAATTTCATACATCAGATCCCAAATTTATAGAATGACCCACATACATTTAGCAATGTTAGTGGAATGATATTGTTTTCAGGGAAAAGGGAGATGAGGATATTGCAGTTGCAGTGCAAAGAACTCACAGGAAATCTGAACAGGATTTTTTCAATTTTTCAGTCGTAAGTCGTCACAAGAAACCTGAACTGTGTATTGCAATTTAATTGCATCCAGATCAGGCGATTTGATTACTGCCCATTCTCAATTATAGTCCCACCCAAAAGTCTGTCATGCCCATTCCAAGAGAGAGATGTTGTTCATCTGGCTGGCTTTTTTCTTTAATGGTACAGTCACCTTGACTTTCAAGTCCAAGGGGCCTGGTGGATAAATCAAGAAGCCATCAAGTGGAAAGCTCTTTGGATGAGATGGAGCTCTGTCATTGGCTTTGCACTGTGATCACTGAGCACATCTTGAATATCAGCATGACATGTATGACAGCTCACGCACAGGCATTGCTTTGATGAAGGATGTGGCGTGTGTCTGATATTGGATCTGCTGTTGTGTCATTCCACACGCAGTGGCTAATATTAAAAAAAAAATACATAAACCGAAAGTGATTGCATTTCTTCAAAGCTGAAAAACAATTTCTGGGTTATTACTGCAATTTAATTATAAAGGCCCATCTCGTATTTCCCAAAAGGCCAAATTGCATGTAATGACCTTTAAGAGAAAGAAATGTTAGGAGTGTGCATTTAAAATTAAAGTCATAAATAATAGGAAAGCAATAAGTATTGCTCAAGAAGGAAAATGGATTGCTTCTGTGAATCATCAATGTTACTGAAACTCAAATCCAAGTCTTTTCAAGTGTAATGATGTTGCTGTAGGGCAGTAAACCAAAATGTCATGGTCTAGTTTGGTGGAAATGATGCATGGTAAGTTATCTCCTAGTGCAGAAAAGCTGCTTTGTAACTCAATAAAAGATCCAAACCATTTGTAATATACTCTCAAATAACATACTGGGCCACAGAAAATGTGACGCTCCTCTGACCCTTACCCTAAAAACAGAAAGATTTACCAGTTCTCTCAAAACGACCCGCTGCAGGTGCATGTATTCATGCCCACAGCCAAGGCATTCAATTCATAACTGTGCCTGTGTGCAGTGTCATTTATAGAAATAGGTAGTACACGGTACACAAGATGGCACGGTTGATCAAATTACCCAGGTTGGGTTGACCACCAATGCGAAACAAACTAGGCTATCCATGGGACTCTACCGTGGGACCCTACCAGGAGCCTGCCAAGTTAACTGGTCTTTTTCTTCCCCACCTGTTTAGTATTAAAAGGCTGGGATTGAGTGAATCTAATTCCTGTTTAAGTTTTGTACATGTACATGTGTTTTTTACACAAACCATCTATGAAACTTCTTAAAGAATCACTTCAAGTAAAATAAACTGATTGAAACTTTAGTTCAGTGCTTCTTTCACCAAACAGCGGAAAAGTGTAAATATCATATTTGTGTGAATAATTAACATAGGATTTCACGATTGGCTCATGACATAGTCTATGATAGGCATAGATTAATTTTGGTCATTCATTATGCAGCTCATCTGCTTCGTGACTTCCAGATTGTAATCATGCTATCAGTGGGTATATCTACACATTGTAGCAGCACATGATTTCACACGCTTTCAACCTTTGACAGCCTTGGTGCTATTTCTCACTGATGGCTACGGTTAGCCTGAACACAGGGTTGCCCCAAATTTGCAGGCACAAGTAGATCAGATATGGCCCCCAGCAAATTGAGACATACTGTACATGTATGTGTAAACTAGCGCTCTGATAGAAATGCAATTCAAACCAACTTCTACAGTTCATAGTCGTTACTGAATGGCCCATATGCCCCAGATCTGCAGTCAGAACAAGTTGCATTATACAAGTTTCGTCGGTATAATGTTCTCCTGTAGAAGGACATGCATTCAGTATGACGAAAAACATTTAGCAAGGAAAAGCTGGTCACGGGAATATGGTATGCTCATTTTTTGTCTCCTTCGGGATTTGGAATAATTTCCTAGAATTGGCTACTCTCCATATCTCTGACTGTCTGCCAAGGTTTTCAGAAATGTCACTTTTTATTGGTGTCAGATTTTGTTTTGAAATCACCATTTGCCCCATTACTATTGTTTGTATTTTCATTCTTTATAGAGAGAAGTAGTGTTTATCATTTGGTGATTTCATAAAAACGTGATGGTAACATAGAGAGACCCTATAGGGACTTACTAAATGTACAAAAAGTGGTGTGAACAGGTGCGACTTTTATTCCCTACAGATCACGTTGAGAGTTGAACAACTTCCTGATCTTCCTGATGGAGAATCTTACAGCTGCCAATTCAACAGCCTACAATCTCCAGGAAACACCACAGGCAACACCATATTGTGTATGACTCCAGAACCGAGCACCATTCCATCAATTCCTCAAATGGGTAACTGCTGATTGAGAAATATGCGAATCATGCTGGTGTTATGGACTTCAACTTCTATATCAGTTGACTTTTTTTTAAAAACGAAAAATTGTATGATTTTTCAAATGACAGAGAAGAGTTTTAATGAATTTCCAGTTGCACATGTGCAGATGAAGTCTAATCCTCAACATTCTCATGGCACGTTCACATTCAGTTTCAGGAAGCTCACAGCGCTCTTTGTGCTCGCATAAAACACATATTTTCATCTTTTGGTCGAAAGAATCCACTTTGAATCACTGCATGCAACAACAAATTGGGGAATGCATAATTCACTTACTCTGGAGACAATACAAGACTTACTTTCCACCATTTTTACCTCACTGAACCTACTCTTATGACTACTGGTAGTTCACGTTGGGGTAGAACACTGACATCACACAGGTATAACTGAAATCGTCACAAATGCCCGACTATGACCAGAGCAGAAACATGTTTCTGAGTAGGGTTACGAAATCATGTCCTTGAGAATTCTAATGGTACGTTTAACATCATTTATCTCCGGGAACACAAAAAGTCCCAGTAATTTCAGGTCTCAGGAAGCCCCAAACCCTTGTCTTAAACTTCATGGAAATTTTAGCAGCGGACATGTTTTATAGAATTCCAAGCCTTAGAAGCATCATTAATGAGCCAGCTCAGTATTCCACCAGTGCCTGCCTTAAAGCACATTTGAGGTAATTCAGGAACAGCCGTGTGTTTGTGCAAGGCTGCCTATTTTAGTACAGCCAAGTCATGATTTCTCGAAGGACCTTGCTTTTTTTAAATAATGAACTGGCTCATTATCTACTCACGGAAAACAAACATCAAGGAGCACTAGGCTTAAACTGCATGGCACAATAATGCTCATAATCTCTTTGCCACATTTAGTTTTAACTTATAACTCCTGGCCTATTGCACCTCATAATCTCAGTAATATGGTAATCCTCAGGCTCTGTGGCTCATTATGCCATACTAAAAACTGAGACTCAAGCAACTCGCAACCCCATGGTTTACTTCAGCTTCTGATACGCACTCGTTAAAGTTTATTAAGCTTTAGAATCATTGTGACAGCATTGAAATGTCATGCCATAATCATTGGGAAAAATATCAAAAGCCTGCCACTTTAACACCCCTGTCATCAACCTCAGTTGTCTACCCCTGATGTGGATACTGTTCATATTGGCCCAGAATGATCACATGACAGGGCAGCATAACTGCATGTAGCACTGTTAGACATCATGTCAGCCAGCGTTATATCTTGTAACATGACAGTCATGCACATCATGCACATCTTGCACGTTCCCCTGCAAAGGGACTGCTAATCACTTCTTTTCAAAGAATCTTTTGTCTTCCTTAATTTCCGTCAGAAAAACAATTGTTTGCCCTCAGCTTTGCCCTGGGCACTGTGCGTACCCGAGGGTTTTCATAGCCTCCTTAACTTGAACAATTTTTAATTTGCACTTCCCTGAATCCACATATTGACTTTTTTTTTGTTCTTTGCAGAGGATCATGTGACAATGCAGTTGAGCGTTTTTTCTTCAGAGTCGAGCGTGACCTTCATAACTTCAGCTTTCAACTTCTATAACTGTAATAGACACACTTCGTAAGTTTTTAAATTAAGGGACCTCATCACAAGCCTATTTATTCAAATACATTTATGGACAGTGCTGCTTATATCTAGCTTACAATCATGCCATGCCCCAAACTTAAAATAGTTGTGAAGGCATAGGGGCCAACAACCAAAGGAAAGCCTGACGGGGTGAAGTTGTACGTTTTATTTTGCCTTTAGATATATACCGGTAGTAGAAACTTTTTAGATGGAATTTAGCGAGGGTCATTGATGAAGTCAACATTTCCCTTTAGTAATCTTGACACTACTTAATGGGCCGTAAATAAATCACTCTCAGTGAAGCAGGAAATGGTGCTGACCCAGAGATCATAGCCCTCAGGCCAGGTGCTGTTTGCACAGAAGCAAGAGCACAAGTGATGCACCCCTGTTTTAAGTGAATTCTTCCTTAATTAGATGTTGGTGTGCTGTTTTGCTGTGTTTGCATATTCTCCCTGAAATGACTGTGCCAGCAGAAGAATTATGTTTTCCAGTGCCATGAAACAATGCAGAAGTCAGAGGAAGAAACAAAAGCCTCTTCCTTTGCCACAACATGAATTGCATTTTAATCAGTTGTGGCAAAATGCCAGTTCCTGATTGCAACAGACTTGCAGTGAATTTCAGGAAGTTTTGTTGTCCAATAATAAAGGGCATATCTCAACAGGAAGCATAAGGACAATGTACAAACTTGCCTACCAGTCTCAGAAAATGTTGTTAGAACATCAACAGAACAGGTCAACAGCAGACAGACATCACATGACATGACTGCAAAGTATACCTCGCTTGTGTTGTGCAAAATGTCCCTGCTGTTTTAATTTGTGCAGCAAAAATTGGCCCTATAGGGAACAAAAGACAGTCTTTATGCAGTTTGTTGCATTTGTGCCAATAGATAGAGACAGACACTGACATACAGAAGTTGTACTGCTCTCGTGCATCAAACAGCCACATACAAAGTGTGAAATTAATTCCAGTCAGCCATTTTCTAACCACTTTATTATTTTTCCAACCAAAGGCAGAAATGGTCAGACAAAATGTCATTACTATTTTTATACATGTATATTTCTGGTAATGATTCTTCAAAAGCACCCTAGGCGCTATAGCTCGCAAACAGAAACCTGTAGAGAGGAGACAGTGAGAAGCAGTTACAGTTTTAGAGATGGGAGGAAAACCCCAAAGGAATATTCTGGGTAAAACCCATGGAATCGGGTAGGGATTGAAAACCCAATCCACATGTAGGCTGAAGCGGGAATCAAACCTGAACCGCAGAGGTGGAAGGTGAGGAAAGAACCACTATTCCAACCTGACTCCTCAGTGTCTGGGAGAAATGCAAAGTTAAAAGTCTCCAAAGCCAAATCTTGTTTTTTTCACTCCAGGTTTTGTGCTTTAAATGTGTTCTTGTGTAAACTTGTCCTATCAAAACCCGGTAATTGTGTTTAACAAAACTTATCGTGCTTGTATGTTTTGTTGGCCACTTTTATGGCCTGATTTCACACACATTGACATGAAGATTTAGGTTTTATGCCTCAAAATGAGATTAGGGCACTCGGACATTGCCATCCACCTTTCCGTCATAGAATTCATGTGCCTTCAGGACAACAATGCCTTTTACAGCAGTGCTTTCATCAAGGGAAATGGATATTGTGTGTTGCTTGAAACAGGGCAAGGCCAGCTCCAGGATGGAAAGAGGGGATGATGGGGGTGTTATTAACTGGAGTCCCACAGAGAGTGTTCATAAAGGACATGGTTTTCCTTCGTATAGGTTTTAATTTAAAACGTCACTGATCATATAGAGGAGACAGGGGGCTGAAAGGTGTCAGTTCTGTGACAAAATGATATCTGTGGCACACATATGTAGGACGTGGGAACCAAAATAAAGATAGTTGGAAGCCCTGCAGTGTACATGCATTATTTGCGATTAACAACATGTTTTCTTTGATTTCTCATGCCCTGCGTGTTAATGTAGGATACATACTCAGTGGATTATGTTCTAAAGTTTTGCAATATTTCCAGTTTGGTTGTGCTTATTCCATTTTGTTGTCCCTGGGATACAGGTGTACCTCGTGCGTCTCCAGTGACTGGAACTGTGATTGGTGTGTTTATGGCAACAGGTGCACTCACAGGAGCAATGAATGTGCCCAGGGGGACTACATCGTCACTGGAAACAACGTCAGTTACTCTTTCAAATTTGGCCTGTTTTGACCCGAAACGTCTTAAAGTGTAGGAGAGTTTTACAGTGGAAAGTATGTTTGTGTCCATTTGTGGTTTTCACTGATAGTGGCATTGCCATCGATGTTTCAATATTTAAGAGTAAAATGAGTGATTTTCAGGTTGAAATTTCGGTGTCACTGTTGCTTCTGCATCGAAAGAGTCTGGAGTTTGAAGGGGGCGGCAGGTATTGAAACAGTACTATAGCCAAGGGAGGAGTGCACAGACCCCTTGAAAAATAAATCCCATCCTTTTTGTCACACCCCTCCAGAATCAAAGTTACAAAATAAGGTTTTGAGGGGAAAAAAACAATAATTTGGTGCCTCTTCCATGACATCCAGCCCCTCCCCCTTTCACCCCACGATTGCGAGAATCCTTACTTTGCTACATTAATTGAAACCCTTCTAGCAAAACACATGAATATGCTCTTTTGGAGTGTTGGTGTTCACCTTTCCCCCACCACAATTCTTTCTGATGAAAACAGAGAAGATGCCAGAAAAAAAGGGAATTCATTTTATGCAGGTGTCGTACATGTATGTACACACACATTGAGAGTACAGTATCTCAAGTTTCAGAGAGGTCACGCCAACCCGTGTAATTAGGTGGACTCATGTACTATTCCTAAGCTGTGGGGGAATAGGGGGCTGTGCATGTCCCCGCAACTCAGTCCAGCTTTGCTTAATGAAAGAAATTCCCACTGCATGGTGCTGACCAAAAGATACATACAAATACACTGTCAAGGCATCCAAGGTAGGAGCGGGTATTAAGGGACATATTTGGGACCCCCCCATTTTGTAATTAATGGAATATAAATCCTGAACTGATTTCTTGCAAATGTCAAAAACTGTGCGGCCATGGAGGGTGCCACCCGTTGTCTGATTCTGCCTACTTTGAGCAGCGCTGACATACAAAGATTGTAACAAGTGCCCTTTTTACATTTAACACCCCTCACATCAGAATGACCATACACCAACACCAACGGAATAGAGTTGGATGGATATTTTTACAGATAATTGCATTTCATGCAGTGAACATAATGATGTTTCAGTGTGGTACGCCGTATATTGATTGTGCATTTTGGATGAAATAGAGGGATTACAGTACTTGTTTTGGAAGCCAAGTTGTTCACATATGTTTTGAGGAAGTGATTTTCTTTCAGTAAGTTGTTCATGTCCTGTTTATACATCATTCATATGTTCTGTTTTTGCTGCTGATGTGAATGTGTCATGATACCGTCGCCGACAAATTGGCATGGCCACTAGATAAGGCCGACAATTGATCCAGCAGTCTTGGACCCAACTTTTGTGTTTTTTCTTTAATATTTTCATATCATGATGATCACAGATATTGTTCACTCTAGGCTGCTCGAGTTCCACAGCTTCCTGTTTTTCTCATGGTGATGCCAATTTCAGGGCCTGTGAGCCCAACGCTCACGTTTCAATACTCGAACTTGGGTTATGGGGGCAGGAAATGGGAGCTGAAATAGCATTTGCAGTCTTCATGTTGCCACTGAAAAGATTTCATAACAGCTTTTTGCTCACACTGTTTTGGGGCTTTCGTTCAAGGAGGGTTTTTCCCCCATGAAGTAATTCTTTGAGAAATAAAAACATTCGAGGTAGCAGCTGGTACTCTATCAGAAGTTCAAAGATTCAGTTTAAACAGTGGTGCGCAAATAATAAACAAGCTAAGTAGCCTTACTGTTGTGGGAATGGGAAATGGGGATATTGCCATCCCCCCCAGCACCATGTGAAATTGTCAGATGTGTACACTGCCTGTGTATAAGATACAGTCTTAATTTCATTCTTAAACATGTGCATCCCTCGATGCCCCCCAAAATTTCACCTTAGTTGCGTCACCGAGTCGGCTGTGTTTAAACAGGATCCTTCCATGTTCATTCTTTATCAAAGCTTCCGTCTCAAAGAGAAGATCAGATGCATGCCCCAAATGTTACCGTTGATTGTAGTGCAGCACTTGACGATGAGTTTGTATAGGTGGTATGGTCTTGATACCCGGTTTTTCTGCCTTGCAGAACCCAGATGCCTCCTCAATGCAAGGGCCAGGATTCTGTCCACAGCTGCAACGTCAGATGCAGGAGGTACTCGTGCCGGTGGGCATTACTCGGGAAATATATGTCTCTGCCTCCAACTTGCCCAATGCTACTCAGGTGAAGATTGTACCCATGTGGTGGGCATCTAAGAGAGGGGGGGCATTCTCAGGGAGGAAAAAAACTCCAACAGAAAAAAAAAAATACAAGAGATCAGAAAGGATAAAGATCACCAGCTCCTATAGAAATGGCTCTGATGAGTTGAATCCCCTTCACTCTATCTTGAGGGTTTTGTTGGTCTGGGAGGGGGACTCTGGAAGGAAATCTCCAAAAGGAAAAAAATGAAAAATTACCAGTTCAAAAATCACCAGTTTCCTATACAAATCCCTCTCGAGTCAAGGGTCCTCCACTCTCTATGGTTTTTCAGTCTGATTCTTTCAAGTGCTTGCTACCGCTGGCAAGGGCTATGCCCCCCACCTTTCAAGTGCTGTCCATGTTTTATTGAGGAAACGATTTTGTTGCCTGGACTAGGTCATATTGCATTGTGCTTTATCACTGTTATAATGCGTATGCTGCATACTTGGCTGCCTTGTCAAGGCTAAACTGCACATATGAAGCACAATTAACAAGCACATTTCATTGGTTGTACCGTGGTTACAGTAAAGAACACTTCTGACTTTCAGCATCTCCGGTCCGGTCATTTTGAAATCTATTTGTTTTGAATGTCATTTTGAACTTGATTAATCACTTCTTGGCGGGTTGCCTGGTACCGGACACATTGGCTCTATATGAACAGCCGGGGTGCCCGAAATCGGACAAAGGAGCTGGACCTTGTAACAAAAGACTGTACTCGGAACAAAATACCGGGCTACTGGGCATTGCCAACATTTTTTCAGTTGTCAATAGTGGAGGTAATCCATCATTGTTTTGAAAGAGTATACTACTGTTTGTGGCATTCAGTGCAAGTGGATTATGACCGGGTACAAAAGAACTCCAGCGATGAGCAAATACAATAGTGCTGCACGCTAATCTGGCCGCATTTAAAAAGATGCCAGCAGTGCACTGGGCCAATTTCGGGAACAAAAGAAACTTATGTAACACCACACAATCTGGGCTCTTTTTACAAAGTGGTAGGCCTGGCTGAAATACTCGGGCGTCAGTAGATGTTGTCTGTCAGATTAGAGGAGCCACCAGACAGTCACTCGTGTGGGTGTAAACATCCAGTTAATGAAGTTATGGGAATTCATCCTGCAACTTCAAACTAAACCCGGCAGCAAGTGGACAAAGTTCCGTAGCTTGCTGTGTCCTTGTGCAGTCTGGAGTCTTTGAAATTTGTTTCTATTTTTCTATTTAGATTTAACATATTAAAGTTTGGGTGGCGTGTACTGGTACACATGTGCCCCTGCTGAACGTACACACACTGGGTAAACAAAGGTAAACTAATGAAGTTCAACAAAAACACAAAACACAAACAAATTTGAATTGCATGGAACATGCTGTGGATTTATCGTCGACAGTTAACAAAAGACTACCAGTGTGCTTTGAAGGTAGAAGGGGCCTTGCAGACCAGCCCAGCCATTGTGATGGAGCCAGACCGCATACAATGCAGTGGACGGATGGTAAGATTTGCATGATACTTTCTCCCTTTTTCTTAAAGGAAACCCAGACCCATTTTAGTATATCCTAAATACCTTTACTTACTCGCATTATCTATTCCTTGGTGGTGATGTTTTTTTTTTTCAGCAATTGCATGACCAGTAATGAAAGGGTAGATGTACATATTCCTCTGTCTTGAGAGTATTGCATTCCTTATGCAACCCTCAAATCAGTATTGTCTTTTGAAAAACCACTTCATTGTCCCAGGCCTAATTCTGCCTAAAAAGCCAAAAAGAAAATTTTTAGAGAATAATTTCAAATACAATTGAAGGGAAAAGTAATTAAAGGTTTCAGGTAAAAAAATGAACTTAGACCCCCCCCCAATTTTTTTTTTCCTGTGAAAGAAGTATCACTCCGTCTGTGACCGGTGCTAAAAAGTAAGTTCTCTGTGAGTGGCTTTTCCAGTACATGTCTTACTACTTTTTTCTTTCAGTACACTTATAAGGCTGATAAGCAAGAGCTGGTGGTACAGTTGAGCATAAGCTGGAATGGTGACAGGCAACTGGATGATCCAGACGGCTTCAATGGTGAGCGACAGTCTCTACTGACTAATCGTACAGTGCTGTGATAGCACCTGGCTAATGCGTAACTCACAATGAAATTTTTCTCTCTAATTGGCAATCCACAACACCCTTTTTTCGACAAGGCATTTAATGTTATATAAACCACACAGTATGACTGTGTATTTACATTTCATAATGCCCGCTGTGACTTGATAATGCCCACTTCGTAACAACCTGCTGGACACGTGGCTATGATGAGACAGTTTAATCCATTCTTACTTGTCTGTGTGCATCACATATGCTCCAAATCCATATAAGGAGATTCTTCTGGACCATTTGCATGCGGAATATACCATAAAATGGACGGGGGTGTTTGGGAAAAGGAAAGTAAAATTCTTGGAACAAAATTGTTCGAAATTTATCATTTATTGACTTTTTTGACTCTGACAAGAAAAGTATTTATGAATGGAAATAAATATGTGCTTTCGGTCTTAAACTAATGCTTAAGACCAGCTCAGGAGAATGAGATCTGATAATGACCTCACCTGTAGTTTGGGCATTAGTGGCGTCCATTCTCCTTAATTGGTCTTAAACACATGTATAAGACGTGCCAAGCACATTCATTATTTATTCCCTGATGTATGATATGCCCCACAAGAATGATATCACTGCAGTGTACAGCTTCGAACTCGGGCAGTGAGAACTGACTTCTGAAGTTAATCATCAGCTGTCTTCCCCCCAGCCAGCAACGCTGAACTTTTTCATCTCTTTGGTTTTGCCCCGCTGAAATGTAAAAGGCTTCAGATATGCCCTCCCCCCCCAAAAAAAGTAGGTGCACCTAGACGCCCATTACCAACTACACTAAAACCCAAGTCATGCCAATTGGAAAGCAAAGCATGTTTTTTTTTTATTTCTGTATACAGTGACACTCTACAAGTGTGGAGTGGATCGGCTGGACTGCAGTCGGTGCCTTTCAAACGAAACAGCCAGACCGGAGCTGGAGTGCCGCTGGTGTGACAGTCAGTGCTCCTTCAAAGATGACTCCATGTGTGGTAGTGAAGGACTTGACCCCAGTGACCCATGCCCGGCGCCTGCTCTGACAAAGGTCTCATCAGTGTTGTCGTGGAGTCCGTCACAAGTCCTCCACAAGTCAGTCACAAGTTGTCCAGTCTCAAGTCACAAGCTGGTCAAATGCACTGTGGCAAAATCACTCCCTTGTCTTGCTTCAAAGTTTAATTTACCCTTTGCTAATGGAGCACCCATAATTAGCGCTCTCCCAAACTTGGTGCAAGCTAGTGTAGTTACTTAGCTAAGCAACCAGCAAACTTGTCTGTGTCATCTTGCTGGTTTGAATCCGTAATGTACATGTATTCAGCGGTGGTTATTGTAGTCGCTGAACTGAAGATAGAAATTGTGCACTGTGAAGATGTATTATGTTGTACACATTGATTATGTGTGTTGATATGCATGCTATCATTCATTTGTGCTACTTGTGACCTGCCTTATGGTATGACTTGTGATGGGCTCTGCTACAATTGTGGGTTATCTGTGATGGGCTCTGCTACAATTGTGGGTTATCTGTGATGGGCTCTGCTACAGTCATGGGTTATTTGCGTGTTATTGCCACTAGTCTGTATAGATATAAGTAAAATCTCCTGGATGTGCTTACTGCAAGCATTCAATCAATTTCACAAGAACAAGGTTTCTGCTGACAGAGCCTCTGGATATGTTACAGAAGCTGAGCTTCAAGCTTGGCATAGATCATGCCAGCTTTAACCATTGGAAGAACTTGAGTAGTGTAGCTAAGAACTCTGTAATAATTCAAATTTTGAGCTTCAAGCGTGGCATAGATATT